GAATATGATGAAAAGTGCCCCAAACTTGATGAAATGTTTATGTCATTATTAAGAGGAAAGACCAAAGTACTTTTTGATTATTAAATTGTTCCATCTCTTTTACAACATTGTAACTTTTGATTAGAATATTATTTCTCTTGCGTCAGCGGAAGAACCATAAATTAAAATAGCGAATTTACCGTCTTCTTTATAGATTTGGACGTGGGCACGTAGTTGGCCGTTACCCAGGTATCTAGATACCTGGACAAAATGTTAATGAGAAGGGCCGATGTAGGTCTCTTATAGTGTCCCACTTTCCACTGGTTAGGCTATTCGGACTACAGACACGTCTGTGCCCGGGTGGCGTTAGACTCTAGGCCTAGAATGGCTGGCTACTGAAAGTACTGGACAGGCGGGATTTTCGGCAACAGCTGATTAGTTTCGTGCAGTGGGAACTGGTGGAGGCGGTTATCGGGTGAGTGAGGCTTTAAGGATAGGATTAGGTTCTTCAACACCGAATTTAGCGAGCGGTTCGCACTAGATAAGGCTAACAAGTTGAAAGCTCTTAAAGATAATCTTTCCCGGGCAGTGGCTGGGAAAGATCCCCTAGAGATTAGACCTAGATAGGTAGGCCCTGCGGCGCGCGGCTAGCGAGCGCTACCAGGGACGGGTAGTTAGGCATAAGTTAATCAACTTCTCTGGCGAAGATGGGAATATAGGCGCAGAACTGCGCAAGGAAGGGATGTATCGAGGTTACGATCGTTACATTCGGGAGGTCGATACCCTGGAGAGGCGAACGCTTAGGTTGATGGCATGTATGAGGCATTTTGGCGGCATTTCGAGAGCCGGTTTTCCAGGAAGCCTGGTCTCCGTGACGAAGAGTTTCGCAGCGATTTGGATGACTTTGTTCGGTTTTCACCGACTGAAGCTGCTGGTTGCGAGGGTGAGATTACGAAGAGTGAAGTTTACGTGGCATTGAAGAGGGTCCCCAGTGGTGTCAAATCTCCAGGACTTGATGGTTTGCCTTATGAATTGTAATCTGTTCCGATTTTGACTGCCGTGTTCAACAACTGTTTTCGCCAGGGGTCAGTCTCCGACTGGGTATCTATCACACTGTTAAAAAAGAACAAGAGTGTGGAACGAGATTTAGATAACTACAATCCCATAATTCTGCTAAACACAAGTTTAAGATCATGGACAAGATACTGTCGGAGCGTTTGCTGTCAGTTGCCGAGATACTGTTGGGATCCGATCAGACTTCTTCGGTGAAGGGTCAAACAATTCACAGTAGCCTGCATCTGATCCACACGGCCCTAGTAAGAGTAAAAGACGACAAGCAAGCCGCACTGATCAATTTGAATCAGTTCAAGACATTTGATCGTGTCGATCATCGGTACCTGGCCGCTGTCCTGCAGACCGCAAGATTCGAACCCAACTTCTGCCGGTGGGTTAGCCTCCTATATCGCTCACCCAGTGCTGTGGTGCCTTTGCGCTGTCTCGGTCGGTTCGTCAGGACTGCCCGTTGTCGCCTTTACTTTACGCTTTCGCATTAGAGCCTCTACTTCGCCGGCTGAAGGACAGGGCGTACAGTCCGGCTCTATGTGGAATCGCTGTCCTTGGTGGAGCTCGAGCCAGGTTTTACGCGTACGCCCTTGACGAAACGACATTAAGGTGGTACTGAAAGCACTTGAACGGTACGAAGATGTCATGTGATCAAGATTAACCGCGTACGAAGATGTCATGTGATCAAGATTAACCGTGGCAAGTCTTCCGGCATGTGGTTAGATGTCTGTTTGGATGGGGACCTTGGTTGGATGGACGGGCCCGTCCGCATTCTCGGAATATGGTTCGGACTCCAGCTAGAGAAAAATTGGTCGGAAGTATAGGCAAAATTTGGCGCCGAAGTGTTCCACTTACGTCTTTCCTCTCATCCTTTACCGTTTGGCTGTAAGGAACCTAAGAAAGCGATGGAGCGCTTGCTCTCCTCTCTCTTGTGTGGTAATCGCAAGCATCACGTCGACAGAGATGCCTGTGCCTAACGTCAGTATCATGGGGACTGGGAATGTCACACTTGGCGAGTCACCGATATGCTTCGAGGTTGGCTTTCCTACGCCGCGCGTTTACAGAGGATTTGATTTTGAAAGGCGTGTGAGGGTCGCATTCCTTTGCCTTATCATCACTCCTCTGGTTCCGAGTGTTGAGCGCAAACGTAAGCCCCGGGTCAGTCGGATCCTCGAGTGTCGATCGGCCTTCAGGGTCATTTCTCAGTCCAGTGACATTTCTCGGCCAAAGAGAGTCATATCGATTAAGAGAATTTGAACTTTTTAAGAATGATATCTACTTCCACAGCCAGATTATTTTTACACAGACGATATACAGCACGACAGTGCCCTTCAAAAAGGTTGTCATTACACAGGCAACAACAACAACCACAAACACGATAAGCCTTTTTCAAGCGTAGGCTGAAATATGAGCTTAGACAAAGTTTCTATTCGCAAATTAACTCAATATATTTTAAATGTTATTTTACGTTTAAACGACCAAATTGATCGAACCAATTTCTTTGTATTTAATAAATTCGAATCAGGTGAATTTAATGATGCACATGGCAAAATTTGAAACGAATAAATTTTTTGCAATGTAAACACACCACGGAGATTGCATTCAAAAAAGATTGTGCTGAAGCAATGTGTTAAATAAATATTTTATTTAGAAAATAACCCGCGATTCGTTTAGATGTTGTCCCCTAATTTTTAAAATCGATGAAAGAACCAGATCATGAGCCATTCTAAAGTTCGTATGTTTGTTTGAATTTCAGGTGAAAATAAAGACAAAAATTGTCTAACATTTGGATAACTTTTATTAAGTTTTTCCTTGATCAAAGCTTTCGGTTCAGATGAGCCATCTTCAAAGTTGTTATACGAATATTTTAACAAAGATATTCACGATAGAAGATGATATTTTGTTATATTGACATAGAAGTTTGCTATGCGACGATAACGATCGCGGAATAGCAAACGCAGGACTTAAATTCATGATGAAGTTCTATGACGTCATATCACGTGAGAGACTGAAATATTAACAACAGAAGCATATGTTTAGACGCAATGTAATTGTGTTGGGACTAGTTCGAAATGTAATTTTGCTGAGTGTGGGTTGCTTCGTTTTAATGTAGATGGCCTCCAATATCTGAAGGTTCTTTTTTTCGTCAGGCCATGTATATCTTATATTTTTTTCGTGTGTATGTGTGAGTGTTATTGCGTTATCAACTAATATCTGTCTAATATTATGTACACGGCTATGTTCTTCTAAGAAATGTAGTTTAATAGAACTTAGATCAGAAACGTTAAAAAGGCTCATGATTAGACATAATAGACTTTCATTTCTATTATATTTAACAATATATGTTTAAAATAATGATCTGTTATTTTACACACACACACACACACATATATATATATATATATATATATATATATATATATATATATATATTTATATGTGTGTGTGTGTGTGTGAAAGTGTGTATATATATATATATATATATATATATATATTTTTATATATTATATGCGCGGTACTTATTAGCGTTTGTCTGACGATCGCAAAAGCGTGAAACCCAGGATCACAAACTCACATCAATCCAGCCAAATATATATTACGATAAACGTGCAATCAATTTACAAATTCATGAATTATTCACACAAAAACAAATGCAAAGGTTAATGATTTAATTGGCGAGAAATCCATCGTCGCAAACAATTCAAATAATATACAAAAACCTCCGAATCCGTTATGAATGAAATGATCCTTGTTTCTATAAATTTCTGCCGTATTAGTTCTTATTTTTACTACAAGCTTTCGTCTGTTCCTACAGACATATTCAGGTATAGAATAGATGTTGTTCTTGTTTTTTCTCTTAGTAATAAGAGGACAACGAAAATATATGTATTGCTGTATCCGAAAATGCTATTGAAATTGAGTTATTGTTTTTGGAGCGCGCAGTAGCAACGCTGAGTTTGATTTTAAATTTTTAAAGGTTGTGCGTTCATATACAAATATGGTGATGAACGAATTTTTTACTGGTAAATTTTCTGTCAAAGTGGCATGAACTATATTGTTCAATAATTACAGTAATGTCGCACTTATTATCCAAAAGTCGCACTTGGATCAGTTATTTAAATTACGATAAACGTGCAATCAATTTACAAATTCATGAATTATTCACACAAAAACAAATCATTAACCTTTGCATTTGTTTTTGTGTGAATAATTCATGAACATCTGTGAATGGATTACAGAATGTGGGTGGTAGCTTTAGCAAAGGTAGAAAAATAATTAAAGACCACAAGGGATAGGTAGTTTTGGAGAGTCATGTCCTGGAGTAACGCGGAACATATAAGAAGTTGGACATGTATGTTTAGCTTTTTCTGCCTGAGTATCTGAAGGAAATCAAAATGGTGGCACCCATGATAATGAACCATCGGTGTCTATAGGCTCAGGAAATAGACTAAAGCTGTTTCTGTTTTTCCTTAAATTGTCTAGCACAGCCAGATAACAATTCTATAACTATACAGAAGTAAAAGCGTTAAGTCCTTTATTGTAGCATTGGAATTGAAGATACATCCCCCAAATTATTTCATGAAGAAATAAATTATCGAATTATGAGCACGGTTTTGTCGACGGTAGAAATCAAGAGATCAGGAGTATTTGATTTTTGAGATTTATGCTTTTTAATCATATTTTGAATTCCTTGTGGGTTTAGAATAAATCTGAACTCGGTATCTGAGTCCCGTGGTATTTTGCCTAATGCGGTAAGACTTTAATCTTCTTTTTGTTGTTAAAAACGAAAAGAATTGATTGATAGATTAACTGAGGATCTTAATTTTCAGAAGAACAAAGAGAAATATGTTTCTGTCATCAAAAATAATTGAAGGGATGTTAAAAGATTAGAAATCAGAAATCTGAAAAAAAGAAAAGAGAGATAGGAAAAGAAAGGAAGAGATAAACAAAATGAAAAGTCAGAAAACACGAGAAAGAAAGAAAGAAAGAAAGAAAGAAAGAATGAAAGAAAAGAGAAAGAAAGAAAGAAAGAAAGAAAGAAAGAAAGAATGGATTCTTGACACAAAGAAAGAAAGAATAAATAAGTAATGGATTCTTAACACAAAGAAAGAAAAAAAAAAGAAAGAATGGACAAATAACGGATTCTTAATACAAAAAAAGAAAGAAAGAACGAATGAATGAATAAATAACGGATTCTTAATACAAAAAAAAAAAAAGAAAAAGAAAGAAAGAAAGAAAGAAAGAATGAATGAATGGATTCTTAATTTAAAAAAAAAGAAACAAACAAAGACTGGATAAATAATGGATTCTTAACACAAAGAAAGAAAAAAGAAAGAAAAAAGAAAGAAATAATGAATTAATAAATAATGGATTCTTAATTTAAAAAAGAAAGAATGCGAAAATAACGGATTCTTTAAACAAATAAAGAAAGAAAGAAAGAAAGAAAGAAAAAAGAAAGGAAACAAAGGAAGAAAGAAAGAGAGAATGAATGAATAAATAATGGATTCTTAATTTAAAAAAAGAAAAAAGAAAGAAAGAATGGACAAATAACGGATTCTTAATACAAAGAAATGAAAGAATGAATAAATGATGGATTCTTAACACAAATAAAGAAAGAAAAAAAGGAAGAATAAATAATGGATTCTTAATTTAAAAAAGAAAAAAGAAAAAAGAAAGAAATAACGGATTTTTAATACAAAGAAAGAAAGAAAGAATAAATAATGGATTTTTAATACAAAGAAAGAAAGAAAAAAGGAATAATAAAAAATAGATTCTTAAGTTAATAAAGGACTAAAGAAACAAAGAATAGAAAAATAACGGATTCTTAATACAAAAAGGAAAAAGAATGAATGAATAAATAATCGATTGTTAATTCAAAAAAGAAAAAAAGAAAGAGTGCACAAATAACGAATTCTTAATACAAAGAAAGAAAGAAAGAAAGAAAGAATAATAATAATGGATTCTTAACACAAAGAAAGAAAGAACGAATGGAAGAAAGAATGAATAGATAAATAATGGATTCTTAATTCAAAAAAGGAAAAAAAAAGAAAGAAAGAATGGATAAATAACGTTTACATAATTCAGAGAAGGAAAGAAAGAAAGAGATTAAAGGGGAAAAGAGAAAAATACTAGAAGAGAAAGAGAGAAAAAAGATAGAGATGAGATGAGAGAGAGAGAGAATGGAAAAGCGTGATCAGAAAAAAAAAAGAAGAAGGAAAGATAAAAGCGTAAGTGGAAGATGATAGCAAGAGAGAAATAATATAAAAATACAAGAGAGAGACAGTGGATGGAGATGGGAAATAGAAAACATGAAATGCGAAAGAACTGAAAGAAATATGAAAGAAAGAATGGAGGAGAAAACAAACGCAAGAAAATGAAAGAGAGAGAGAGAGAGAGAGAGAGAGAGAGAGAGAAAAAGAGAGAGAGAGAGAAATATGAAAAAATGGCAGCTGATATCCAAAACGACCTTCAGTCTCCTGAGACAATGGATGACTTGTTAAGGTTAACACCCCTAGAAATAAACTCTCTATTAGTCATCTTCCTGCCTTCCATCAGTATGGCTGATGCTAACCTTCAAAAGAGTACATAGTTGCACCTTCTCGAGCTAACATTCTCGGCTGACATAAAGTTGAAAGACGATATTGAATGCATTGGTAGGTCAGCTGCTAAGAAAGTTGGTTCATTGTGTCGTGCTAGATAATTTTTCTCTCCAGATTCTATCTTGCATATCTATAAGTCTACCATTCGTTCATGCTTAGAATATTGTTGCCAGATATAGCCCGGTACTCCTGCTATTTTTCTAGAGCTACTTGATAAAATCCAAAGAAGAATCAATGATATTATTAGTCCTTATCAGGCGTCTCGGCTTAGTCTCTTTCCCACCGCCAAAGAGTTGCCTCTCTATGCCTTTTCCATAAATGCTTTCATGGTAATTGTTCGGATGAGCTCTTCATTATGGTACATAGACTTTTTGAATTTAATCGCAGTACTAGACTGGTGGCGGGGTTCTCATCAATTTACAGTTGAGTTGGCTAGATGTAAGTTCTATGCTAACAATTTTTTCTCGCTTGTGGAACTCCTGTCTCCATGCTTTCGCGCCAACTTTAGTCTGTAAAAATTTAAATGCAATGTCAATCCCTATCTACTGTCCTGATTAATCTTCTTTTCTTCCTGCTCCTTAACAAGGTTTCTGTTTTCTAATTTTTTCCACATCCAGTAACCACTTGTGTCTTAGTAGCTTTAATGCCTTGCATGGGGGTAAAAAAGATAAAAAAAAAGAATTGAAGAGAAATGAAACGATGGAATGTCTGAGAGAGAGAAAATATATGAAAAAGAATTGAGAGAGAGAAAGAGAGTGAGAGAAGAGACAAAAAGAAAGTAAAATGCTTTGGTTTGGTTTGTTTTATGGCATATCAACCTCAATGGGTCATTTAATGCCAACAACATTTTTTTTTCCTTGTAATATTTTTGTTTTGTCAAAAATCTATTTCTGGTAATGTTTTTCCTCAAAAATGAATGGCTGGTAATATAATTTTAAAAAATGTATTGCTGGTAATACTTTTTTTCAAAAACCTATTGCTGGTAATAGTTTTTCTTCTTTAAAAATTTTTTTCTGGTAATAAATTTTTTCCAAAGTCGTTCTGTTATTAAAACCTAGTTTTACATTTTCATAATGCTTTTTACCTCAGATTCGGGTCAGGGTAGACCTGGGAACACCAGCTATTAAGACGTGGTTCCACGCTCCTCAAAGCATCCTTATCAGAGGCCTTGCTGTTGGACATAGTTTATCGTCTTACCCTGGACGCAGATGTAGTTTATCGTCATACCACGGAATGGGAAGTAAAATGGAGAATGAAAATAAGAAATCTAGAAATAAGACAGGAACAATGATAGAAGAAATGAGAAATAGCGAAGTAGAAGAAAGAAAGAAAGAAAGACAGAAAGAAAGAAAGAAAGAAAGAAAGAAAGAAAGAGCAGATATGAGAAGGAGGGAGAAAAAAGTTAAACTGAAATGAGAGATATATAGAGTGAAAAAAATGGAAGGAAAGAGAAAAGGAAGAAGAAATAATATAAAAGCGAAGGAAAGAATGAAAACAGATTATAAGAAATAGAGAGACATGAAATAATATGATAAAGCACAGTGGGGGGTGAAAACGTGAGAAACACGCTCAAGTTCCGTAGATTCCACTGGGGGTATGGGGGGGCACAGCTCTGGCCAACACGAAGAAATGATGCTGTGGTTCTGGCAACAAGTAGGTTTTTCACATGAGGAATTTGCTAGTCCTATGATCAACTGGTCTTGAATTCATAGCTGTCCTTCTCCTAGACTGTTTGCCAACCAAGGCTAAAAACCTCAGCCTGATATTTATCCCATAATTGGTAGAAGGAGAGATAGATTCATACCTTTCTCAAGGGTATTTGCGCGTACTCGACTGGAATTCGAACTCCGTCCTGTAATTCCGAGCCACTGTCCAGTACACCAACCGCACATCCACCAAAGATACGACAATGATTTTGTTTATCTCTTTCTTTTGCACGGCACGAAAAATCACAAAAAATACTGGATAACTAAGTCTGCAGGGTATAGCTTGATATCCAAATAATGTAGAAGATAAGGTTATCAATAATTCCAGTTATGGTTGGCGCCCTCAATTCGATTGGAAAAGGTTCTGATAGACTCATTGATAAGATCACTGGTACTCTATGCCTTAAATACAAAAAAGGCACTCGCAAGAACAGCACACACATTACGAAAATCTTTATCTATGTTAAATGTGTGTGATCTTAGTTTGTCTATTTTACAAAAATGTTCAGTGGAAAATGTCATGATACCATTTCTGACCTTAGGTCTGTGGTTGGGACCCGGTATGAGTATACAATATAAATCAAAGGAAATAATAATAATAATAATAATAATAATAATAATAATAATAATAATAAATGCATTGATACTGCACTAGTCGCGGCTCACATGGTTTCTGATCTTAACTGATTGATGATAATATCATGTATATGTTTTGTCTTCCTGAATTAAGATGTCTTGGCGAAGACCATACAAGAGAGAGAAAACTGGCAGTACAGCATCGCAAACAAAGAACTATACCAAATAAGAGAAACCACATCACTTGAGAACCATGAACAGCAGTAATAACTAAAATGCATATCACATGGGACTCGAAGTGAAAACAATGATATAATCAAGATGTTAACATTTCACACTATTTCAAACAAAAGGTTAGAAACACCCATCAATACTGAAAAGAGCGATAACAGCTACTAGACGAGTGAAAGCTATTTTAATGAAAAATATTCTTAAGAGAATGATTTTATAAATCTCAACCAAAAGCAGAACTCTCTGCTCGGTCAATGAATGCCAAATGTTTCCTTGTAGGGAAATGAATAATATTAGCAATGCAGTAAATATCTCGTTCATTACCACAGATTTGCTTGACCTCAATTAGTTTGCCATGCTCTCTCGTGGATGACGCACTGGGCATCGCTGTTTATGAGCAGAAGTAGCAGGAGTATGATGGCCAGTACAAGGAGAGATGAAGGATGAAGCAGCGAAAGCAACGTTGGTTGTCACATATAGACATTGGGAACACTTTCAATCGGACACCGCTAAGCGGACTGGGTTTACCGACCTGAAGCTATTTCTAACTAGGCCTCAACTTCAAGGTTATACGCTGCTTTTCTCAAAATCTTTTACGATATTGTCACATTTCGCTGTGATACATGTATTTTTATATGCTTGCCAGACTGGGTGTCATGATGGGTACACTGGGTTTCATATGTTTGTACCCAGCGCACTTTGCTGGCGTCTTGCTCTCTAACACAATAATAATAATAATAATAACAATAATAATAATAATAGTTCATTGTACTCATAAGAAAAACATACACATTACGAAGAGCTTTATCTATATAAAATGTGTCTGATCTTATTTTGTCTATTTGTTTGTTTTTTTACAAAATGTTCAGTGGAAAATGTCATGATGCCATTTCTGACCTTAGGTCTCTGGTTGGGAGCCGGAAGGTAATGTGTATACAACAGAAACCCAGGAAATTAAAATTATTAATAATAATAATAATAAGAAGAAGAAGAAGAAGAAGAAGAAGAATGATGTTAAAGCTCCTTATCACGGATGCAATTCTAAGAACATCATTTATATGCCGTATCCTTTTCATTACTCTCCACAACATCCTATTCTTCCCAGGATCTATGTACTGATGGCCTCTTTTCTACCCCCTAAAATGGAAGTCATAGGAAAAACATTTAGTTGAATAGGATTCATATTTTTCTTGTATCTTCATGTCTGGTTCATTTGTAGTACAGTGTTTTTAGCCGATGTGATCTTTGGCCTTCACATTAAATTGTATATATTAGTGGGAAGCTATTTCTTTATTCTGATTTTCAGCAAATTTAATCTGAAAAAAATCCAACATCTGTCCATATTTCTGAGATGATGTATTATGTACACTATTTACATTATTCGGACTATTGTCCTCATCTTTGTTGCCATATTTATTACAACGTTTCGGCCGTTCAGTATCTGTCCACATTTCTGAGATGATGTATTATGTACACTATTTACATTATTCGGACTATTGTCCTCATCTTTGTAGCCATATTTATTACAACATAGCACGTGGAACTAGAATAGTCTACCCCAGTGAGCGAAATAAACGGTTCAGTTCGACATTCCAATCACCTAAAGAAGGCCGGAGCGTACAACGGCAGAGACGCTGTAATTGTTGTGGAGTGATTTCACAGTGGAGGCTTGTATTTGTACTAAGTCGGTCCTAAAATAGGTTCGACGTACAAAACGTTAGGAACTTGATATAATAGGTATAACGCAGAGTAATCTAGTTGTGGTCGCTGATACTTTAGTATTCGACTAACTGTCGTCTGACATCGACTGACTCACTGACTCCTCGTTACTATTACTACTCCTACTTATTATAGGTGAGAGAGTCTATTAACTATAGAATAGGTGTGTTTCACTATAACAGTAATAAATATGGCGACAAAGATGAGGACAATAGTCCGAATAATGTGTACATAATACCTCATCTCAGAAATATTGACAGACACAGAAAAATTAAAATCTTGCAAATGTACAAAGGAAAAAGAAAATTGTATTTAAAATAAAATTATTATTATTATTATTATTATTATTATTATTATTATTCTGTACTATGTCCCTTCATGACGTTGGTGATCGTGGTTTTCCACAATTTCCCGCCTTTCGTAACTCTTAATAAATTTTGTCTTTTTATTATTTCACCTAAAACTTGTTTCGCCATGCTCTTGGTAGATCATGCGTTAATTTCCTCTGCCCCTCTTGCCTTCAATCTACCCTTTCTTAATACTTCGCTTAGCTTTTGGAAGGCATCTTTAGCTATGCCAATGCATCTTCGTATTTTAGTATGGCAATTTCCGTCCTGTTAAAACACTTCTGGTATTTCCAATTTGTAATTTGCATGTTGGGCTGTTCCTTTGGCTGAGAACCATGAATTCTGTGAAATTCTTGAAATTGATGTTTAGTCCTTTCTTCTAGCTTTCCTTCATTACCTTCTATAGAAGGTTTTTCTAATTTCCTTTCTCTGAACGCTATGAAAATATGTATTTTATGAAGGAACAAGATGCAAAATATATAGAATCAGACATCTTTAATATCTTTAGCACATCCACATTTCAGCATCTGATTCCTCCAAACAGGCTCCTTTTTTAAGCTTGTGGCACCGTGCTTTTTAATATTTTATAACATTTTTTGATGCAAAGGACTTGAACATTTGTGCACAGAAAAAAACGGGGTATAAAAAAAAATGGTTTTTATCATGACGCCGCTTTTATTTTAACTACCTTTCCTCCTTGGCAACATTTATTGTTTTAAAAACGATGATTAGAATTGTGATAAATTCTAAATATATGATGAAAGTGGATTTATATTGTTTTTTGTTCTTGAGAATTAAATTTATTAATTTCTTAGATAGCGTTTATTTTTACAATAATAATTTTATATTTACATTCTAAATACTCATATAATTAAAACTAATGCAATATTTTTCATTTAACCAATTTATAAAGAAATAAATATGAAAACAATTTTTTATTCAAGAATTTAGAAACATTTAATAACTTATTAAAATCCTGAAGCATTGACATAGATTGAAAATAGGGGACGCGTTTAGTCTTCTGTTCAGTTCTCACATTCTACAAAACCTTGGGTGGGGGAAGCCCCCTCATTTCCACCTACAGTATCGCATATGTTGAATTTTTTCAGATTAAATTTACTGAAAATCAGAATAAAGTTCGGAATTTTTTTTAAGCATTACGCCCCGAGCAAGGCGTGAAGCCACTAGGATGCAGGAGGGTTGCAGAAGATTTGGAGCGAGAGCAGATAGGAGAGATAGAAGAAAGGATGAAGAGAAGGATAGTGGTTAGATGTAACTGGAGATGTCGATTGACATTACATTTGAATAGTTGGAGATTATAGCTCTCAGGGAAACAGTAATTGGGAAGGGTGTTCCACAGGCGAGAGGTGCGAGGCATGAAGCTATTGGAGTAGAAGAGACGGCTACATTTAAAAGTTTCTACAGCGGGATGCCAGCCTCGTAGGACGCTTGAATTCATGGAGTCTGGGAGCCAGTGAAAGCATCTCATGGGAGCAATTACCATGAAAGTATTTGTAGAAAAGACAGAGAGAGGCGACGGCGCGTCTGTGAGAAAGTAACTGTAGACGAGATGCCAGATCAGGGCCAATTATATTACATATCCGTCTCTGGATCTTGTCAAGAACTCCGAGGTAAACAGAAGGTGCCCCAGACCATATATGGCAGCAATACTCCATGCAAGGGCGAATGGTTGATTTGTATATTTGAAGTATCGATTCCACCTTAGTATTTATCAATTTATAAATTTCTAATCAATTAGTCGATGTTTCGCCAAACATTCCAATAAACAATATAATAAATAGTGTAAATAATCAATCTAATAAATAAATAATGTTTATTATTTTTGTTGTCAATTTTTAAAAATAAAGAAAATGTATAAATTCACTTTCATATGTTTAGATTTTATTACAATTCTAATCATTGTCGAGAAATTGAGTGTTGTACAGGCGGGAAGAGAGCAGTGTATTTATCTTTTGCTCTTGAAATGTTTAATAAACAAAAAGCTTTGTTATTTTCTCTACTAACCGTTTATAGTTACAATGTAGATATGACAGGGTTACCATGTGATCCTTGAAGTTGAATAAAAGGAGAGGTAATCTATCTCTTTTTATTATGAAAATTACCTTCCATGTTATCAGACGGTTATACGTCACGAAAAAATGGTGATATATTTCGGAGCTCAAGCTAAGCGCTATTACTTTTTTCCCCCCTTGAGCTTGTGATTGGGATTTTTACGACATTATCGCTTTTTAAAACAATAAATATTGCCGAGGAGTGAAGGTAGCTAATATAATAGCAGTGGCAATGGAAAAA